TGGTAGTCAGTGCACGTCATAGTGACTAGTCGACCTGTTGACTGTTTGCCCCCTGATGGTCAGTGCACATCATAGCAAGTGGTTGAGCTGCCTTAGCATATCATTAGCATATTATGCTTTGATTGGCTGAACGGCCAACCGGTCGACTGGATACTTAGCATATTAGGCTTTTATTATATAGGTTTGAGCCAATCCAAATAATCCAGAATAATTTCACCATCTCAAAGTCCTTAACTTAATTACATCTACAAAGTTCCTTTTGCTATGTAAGGTAACATTCACAGGTTTCCAGGATTAGGACGTGAACATCTTATGAGGGCCGTTATTCTGTCTACCACAGACATATAGTTCCATGAAATATAAAACTACTAGTCTCTAATCTATAGCATCTTATATTAAATTAATTTCATCATTGGAAATCAATCTTTCTTACAGCTTTTTTTAAGGAGCATCAACTGCTAAAACTTACACAGGGGAATATTATTTAGAATATGTTTATTAGATGTTCTCTCTCTGTCTTAACTAGGAATATTTATTTATTTTTGCTGATGTCATGACATCTTCCACCTAAATATAGCAGTAGAAATCTCTGAAATATATGAAAATTGTCCTCTATAGCCTAAATAACAGTCTTCCTTTTTACAGGAAGGTTGTTACAAATCCTAGCAGGAAGAATGTATTAGATAACAATAAGTTTTCTTGAGCAAATTATTGTTGTTGTTGTTTTTATAAGTAGTAAATAATATAATTGACCTCTTTGTACTGACTCCTAGGATGCTTAGAGCAAGTTTGTGACCCATATTTAGCATTAATATCTTTATTTTTTTCTTACAATTGCTTTTATTTTTCTCCTGTTTTCCTCATTTATGTTTTCCTTCCATCTCAATGTACTATATATATCTTTATGCCTTGCCTCAAATCTTTTTTGGAAGTGAGCCATGTATACATAAATAGGAAAACATTTCCTGTTAGTACTTTGCAGTAGTGTTTTCTGAGGAAGCATATAGAACCTTTACCCTTGCAAGTTTTTAAATTTGGTTAAAATGCCATCAGGATACTTCGGATTGGAATTCAGTTTAGAGAAGATTTAAACGCCCATTGGCATTTCCCCTGATTCCTCTTACTCTCAAGAATAATGGAAATATGCAAAAAATTATTTTGCTATTGGGTTCTATTTTATATTTTAAAGGAATAGAAGAACTTTTTCAGGATCACTGAAGTCAAATGTCTCCCATTTGACTCAAAATATCTATCTACACTATTCGAGTGAGAGCACCCAAATGAAGAAATTCCAATTTCTTCTGAAAAAGAGTTCACAAATATGAAAAAATGGCAGAAAGGGGGTTCTGATGGTAGCTAGCAATTCATTTTCAATTTATTTTGGATACATTAATAATAAATACTATAATACCCAAAAGTTCTCTCTCCTTTATAATTTTTATCTGTTTTGCTAAAGAGTCCAAAACTGCCCCGAGGAAGGAAGCGTATCATTTCCCTTCCCTTCCTCCGAGTTTTCTGTTTAAATCCCGCTGTTGCCAAGTTTGAGTGGAAAATCATTCCATTGCCATTTGGCAGTGTACATGACTCTTGGCCAAAAAGAACTATTTAAGCAACTTTGAAATCTGCTTAGATTTTAGAGCTGTGTGTGTGGTGTAGCCCCAGTGCTCCTGGAAAACACGAAGAGGCCTGCCATCCTCCCTGACATGCTCTCACATATGACATAATTCCAGGTCACGGGTACCAGCAAAACAGCAGAGCCCACAGGAGAGTCTTAGCTCCGTCTTGTGAGCTTTCTGCCATGAATCTGAGGGGGGACTGTTACTACTGTTAATAGTGCACATTCATTGAGCAGTCACTCTAGAGCTAGGAATTGTGATAAGCCTTTAAGTGCATTTTTCATTTAATCCTCACCACGGTCCCCCAAAGGAGTTGCTATTATTACCCCCACTTTATGGATGAAAAAGCTGTGACTTAAGAAGTTAAGTCACTTGCCCAAGATCGCATGGTTTGCCAGAATTGTGCTTAAAAACATTTGTATGTTTGATTTTAAAGTCCACAGTGTTAACCTTTATGCTGTGATCCCCACATTTAAGTTTGTGGGTATACAGGGAGCCAGGCGATATTGTTGCTAAGAATGAGCTTATATTTAAAAATTTTTTTGATATAAGAGTAATATGTAGAATTGAACTCTTTAAATTTAGAGAGAACATCATTTAGTATTGTTTTTCTTTTTGCTGTCAACTAGAAATTCCCTTTGCATTCTGAAAGGAAATATAACTCTAATATTACCTTGAGATTTATGTGGTATCATTGAGTCATAGCATTAGGGGAAAAAAGAATTACTTTAAATCATTTTGATGGGAAGCAGCATAATGGGCAGATGTAATGATGCTAGGAGTGAGAAAATGAATCTTATATTCTGGTTCAAGTTTGACTCATATTATGCTTTTGGAGAGCTACTCAGTGTTTTAATAGTTTTGATATCTTTTCCTTAAAATGAAGATATACATAAATATAACTATACAATTTATGGTAGAAGATTTGAATTGTCTTTCTAAAGTAGGTTGGCCAGCAACTAGATTCTAGGTTGATAACATCTACGTAACCCATATGTGGCGCCCAAGCTGTTCTTGTCCATGAATAGGGGGAAAGATCATTCCTTCTCAGAAGGGAGGAGGGAAGCCCAGGCCCACCTCTGTGATCCATAAGTCCTTAGTCTGCACCTCCTTCCTGCCTGAGTGGACCCTCATTCTGACTTGAGAGCCCAGCTTTGGGTTTGGTTTCCATTTTGGCTCTTTTTCCAGCTCACTCAGTCAACTTGTATGTTGCTTAGACTGTGTTTGCTACACTTCTTACCCTTGCCCAACTCTCTGATTTTGGATGTTGCCTTTGACCCTCTCTCATGGGCTTAAAAGCACATGCCATTGCAAGTGCATGTCCAGCGTTCCAGCTCTTGTTGCAGTGAGCTGGGTGCTTGTCTGAGAGAGTCAAGTGCTAGATGGCTAAAAAGTACTATAAAGGAAAAGGTTTTAAAATATCATTTAATATTCAAAATCTCTATACTTAATCACAGAAAGGTACTACTTTTTAAAATACTTTTTGAGCCTGCTATGCTTATGCTTACTTACTAATTTCCTCCTTTCTTATTTTCCTTCCTCTTTTCTCCTTTCCCTCCCCTCCCCTCCCTCCCCCTCCCCTCTCCTTCCCTTCCCTTCCATTCCCTTCCCTTCATCAGCCACAAAGACCTGATAATTCTACCTTAAATATTTTCTAGAATATTCATATTCTTTTTTTAAAAAAATATATTTTATTGATTTTTTACAGAGAGGAAGGGAGAGAGATAGAGAGTTAGAAACATCGATGAGAGAGAAACATTGATCAGCTGCCTCCTGCACATCTCCTACTGGGGATGTGCCCGCAACTCAGGTACATGCCCTTGACCGGAATCGAACCTGGGACCTTTCAGTCCGCAGGCCGACGCTCTATCCACTGAGCCAAACCGGTTTCGGCAAAATATTCATATTCTTTTATCCCCATTGCTACCAGTTTAGGCTAGAGAGCTGCCATCTCCCAGTTTATGCCAAAAATATTCCAATTGGTTCTCTGTCTTAAGGTTTTCCAGTTTCAATCAATTTGCTATAGAGTAAAATGAAAATTTTACTGGGTCATCCTTCTTAAAACCCACAAGTGGCTCCCGCTTCCCGTAAGGCTGAAGTCCAAACTCCTGGGCATTCATTACAAACATCTGTTCCATCTCTCACTCATCTTTTGCTACCCCTTCCCCATTTTATACTCTATTCCAGTTTCTTTATGTATCCCAAACTTTTCTGCATCTTTTTGATTCATGGGTTGCAATGGATTGACCATAATTTGCTGGAACCACAACAAACTGATGAAGCTGTGACAGGGAAGAAAATCCTCCAAAGGCAAATTAAGGCCTTCATCAAGCATGTCAAACTCACGGCCCACAGGCTGCATGCCTTGTTTATTTGGCCTGTGTTTGAGTTTGACATGCTTGGCCTTCATTATCCTGCATGAGGATGATTATAGTAGTTTCCTAACTGGTGTTTCTCCTCTGGTCTTCCCCAGTCTATCCTACAGTCTGTTGGCAAAACCATTAAAAAAGTACAGGTCTGATGATGTTATTCCTTATTTAAAACTATTTAATGGCTCACCTTGATCCTGAGGATGAAGTGCAAATGTTTTCATTGTGGCTGAGTCGCCCCTTGGTCTGGTCCCTGCTTCTCTATCTCCTTATACTCTTACTCCTTGATTCAGCTGCCCAGGTGCTTGCACTTTCCCTTAAAAGACATGTGTGTGTGTGTGTGTGTCTATGTTCATTCCACTTATTTGATCCTCTTTTTCTTATTACTATTTTTTTCATGCTTGTTCTGACTTTCATATAGAGCTTGAATGACTTAGGTGTCTGAGGCATAGGAGCTATGTAATCACCTGGTTTTTGAAAGACTGACTGATTGACTAAATGATGAATGAAAAGGTAAGCATGTGGATTCCATTCCCTCTTAGAAACCAAAACCCAAACCCAAACCCTTTCCTCATGCTTATTCTTTACCCTCACCCTATTTTTTTCATTCAGTGACAACTTCTCAAAAGAATGATCTATACTCCATTGCATGTATTTATTTACTATTATTCCTTAACCCTTTACAATATTGCTTTTGTCCTCATAATTTTACTGATATCATTACTTAGCATATGCATCTATCCCTTTTGCCATATTCAGTAACTTTATTTTTATTTTTTATAAATAGAGAGGTTAATGATGCATTGTTCTTCACACAGGTGCCTTGTGAGTCTTTAAAATCCAGGAATATGCAAGTAGGCAACTTAGACCGTGTAGCCAGATCTAAAATAAACTGGCTTCTTATAACTACCCTGTAAACATCACAGCTCTTCTTCCATCCAAAATGAACATAATCTCACATGAAAACAGTTAATGTAGGGCCAAAAGTTTTGTGGCCAAAAGCAAAAACCAAAGGAAAAATAGCAATTTGGTGGTTAGTTGGTGAAAGCAGGGAGCCTGGAGCCCTTCACTGTGCTGCTTTGCTCTTCTTACTCTTGCTCTTTTTGTCCCTCTTCTTCAGCCCGTCCATGTTTGCTCTCAGTAGGTCTGAATAAGCCATCTGAAACTTATTCACTTCTTTGGAGCTCACCACTGTGCTTATCTTCTTTTCCCCATCAGTAGCTCTTAACAGACATTTATTTTCTGAGGGCTCAAAGCCCTCCACGGAGACTTTCCTTGGAATGGGTTTAGTTTGGCCATCATACTTCTTCAGGGTGACGAACACACTGCCCGACAGCCGGCACTCCTGGAAGAGCCTGGTCGGCTCCGCCAGGAACTGCTCACTCTCCAGCAGAACCACCCCGGCTCCCCTGGCCCCACTCAGGCCGCATCAGTGGCTTTATCTTTTGTATTCTCCTTGCCTTCTCTTCTTTTGCATATCCTACCACCATTTCAAATTCAGCATGTCTAAAACTAAGTATTTTAATATTCACTTCATGTCAATTCTCCACCTATGAACTTCTTTCTACCAGTTGTAGAACGAGTCACCCAATCTCAGATTCTTGATGTTATCATCTCTCTCCTTACCACTGAACTGTTTGATTTCTTCTTTTGTAATATTTCCTTCCATTCTACTCCATTTGTAGTTACTATACTAGACCACAATTTCATCATTTCATTGATACATGCTTCCAATAAACTTCTATTTGTCTAATAGAAATGTAATGTGAACCACATATATAATTTTAAATTGTGTAAGAGCAACATTTATATTTTTTTATTTTTATTTTTTTAAAAAATATATTTTATTGACATTTTACAGAGAGGAAGGGAGAAGGAGAGAGATAGTTAGAAACATCAATTCAGCTGCCTCCTGCACACTCCCCACTGAGGATATGCCCGCAACCAAGGTACATGCCCCTAACCGGAATCAAACCTGGGACCCTTCAGTCGGCAGGCTGACGCTCTATCCACTGAGCCAAACCGGTCAGGGCAGGAGCAACATTTAAAGATGAAATTCCGAGAGAACCAAGATGGCGGCATAGGTTAACACTGGAGTTTGCTGCTTTGAACAACTACTTCAAAAGTGAAACCAAAAAACGGAAGGGACATCACCCAGAACCACAGGAACGCTGCCTGAGTGGAAGTCCTACAACTAGGAGGAAAGAGAAACGCATACGGACACTCAGAGGAGGCGCAGTGCTGAAGTCAAATTCTGAGGTGCGGAGTGCGCGAGCGGGCTGGCGGCGGAGGGCGCGGTTGGCGTTTTCAATCGGGAGGGAGTCGCAGACTCTGAGCTCCAGATCCGGGCGAGTCTTTAGGGACCCAGACTCAAACGGGAGAAGCGGGACTGTCTGGCTTCGGTCAGAGCGAGTGCAGCTTTCTCTCTGAGCTTTGCAGCGGGTGCTGGGACTCAGAGAGGCAGAGCCCCTGGGGACAGGACTGAGAGCCGCCATAACTGCTCTCTCCGGCCCACCCTGTTGATCCTGTGCGACCCGCCCCGCCCAAGCCCTGCACATAGGCATTTGCCGGATAGCCTCAGGCAAAGGCTAGATTAGCACCTCCCTAGAGGACAGAAGTTCTCTCACTGCTGACACAGCTGATTCTCATAGCCACTTGGCCTGGAGGTCAAACCCTCTCTGGAATTAGCTACAACAATCAAGATTTAACTATAAGACTGTGAACAAAGACCACTAGGGGGTGCACGAAGGAAGCATAACAAAATGCGGAGACAAAGAAACAGGACAAAATTGTCAATGGAAGATATAGAGTTCAGAACCACACTTTTAAGGTCTCTCAAGAACTGTTTAGAAGCCGTCGATAAACTTAATGAGATCTACAAGAAAACTAATAAGACCCTCGATCTTATATTGGGGAACCAACTAGAAATTAAGCATACACGGACTGAAATAACGAATATTATACAGACTCCCGACAGCAGACCAGAGGAGCGCAAGAATCAAGTCAATGATTTGAAATGCGAGGAAGCAAAAAACACCCAACCGGAAAAGCAAAATGAAAAAAGAATCCAAAAATGCGAGGATAGTGTAAGGAGCCTCTGGGACAGCTTCAAGCGTACCAACATCAGAATTATAGGGGTGCCAGAAGATGAGAGAGAGCAAGATATTGAAAACCTATTTGAAGAAATAATGACAGAAAACTTCCCCCACCTGGTGAAAGAAATGGACTTACAGATCCAAGAAGCGCGGAGAACCCCAAACAAAAGGAATCCAAAGAGGACCACACCAAGACACATCATAATTAAAATGCCAAGAGCAAAAGATAAAGAGAGAATCTTAAAAACAGCAAGAGAAAGAAACTCAGTTACCTACAAGGGAATACCCATACGACTGTCAGCTGATTTCTCAACAGAAACTTTGCAGGCCAGAAGGGAGTGGCAAGAAATATTCAAAGTGATGAATACCAAGAACCTACAACCAAGATTACTTTATCCAGCAAAGCTATCATTCAGAATTGAAGGTCAGATAAAGAGCTTCACAGATAAGGAAAAGCTAAAGGAGTTCATCACCACCAAACCAGGATTATATGAAATGCTGAAAGGTATCCTTTAAGAAGGGGAAGAGGAAGAAAAAGGTAAAGATACAAATTATGAACAACAAATATGCATCTATCAACAAGTGAATCTAAGAATCAAGTGAATAAATAATCTGATGAACAGAATGAACTGTTGATTATAATAGAATCAGGGACATAGAAAGGGAATGGACTGACTATTCCTGGGGGGAAAGGGGTGTGGGAGATGCGGGAAGAGACTGGACAAAAATCGTGCACCTATGGATGAGGACAGTGGGTGGGGAGTGAGGGCGGAGGGTGGGGCGGGAACTGGGAGGAGGGGAGTTATGGGGGGAAAAAAAAGAGGAACAAATGTAATAATCTGAACAATAAAGATTTAATTAAAAAAAAAAAAAAGATGAAATTCCTTTATATATATTTTATTCCAATATCTCCAAAATATTAGCATTTCAAAATGTAATTAACAAAAATTATTAATGTGATATTTGATATATATTCTTTCTAGTCTTTGAAATCTAATTTGTATTTTACACTTGGGGCACATCTCAGGTCAGACTAGCACATTTCCAGTGCTCAATAGCTATATATAACTAGTGGCTAGTTATTGGACAGCACAAAGCCTAGCTGATTTCCTTGACTCCAAATTTTAACTTCTTTCAATGGAATCTGCATCCCATCATCAAAGCAATTACCATTCAGCACAATTATCATTGCAAACACGCAGAAGAAAATACTCTCTGGCTACTTTCATTTGGGTTCAATGGAAAGACCTGGCTTCTTTGATTTGATTCAAGGACCTCCATAAATTCCTTTCATGCATCCCACATTATTTTACCTTATCTACTATTACTTCAACTTATTCAACATTATTTTCACCAGACTCCAAAGTATACCAATTGTTCCAGTTATATTGATCTTTTCACTACTCCATGTATGGGCCTTCCTCATTCCTACCTTTACTCACATGATTTATGTTACTTGGCTGGTTTTCTCTCTTCTCAGCTCTCAATTCCCAGATCAAATTATTCTTTCTTTGTAAAGCCTTTCCTGACTGATACAACCAGAGGGGTGAGTGCTGCTGTGAGGATGTGAACATATCAATAAATTGTGTAATTAATAATATAATTAAAGTGTAGTTTGTCATGCTTTTTTGTGTGTCATGCTTTCTTAATAAAATTATGAAAAAAGTGGTCTTTATTATGGATTTAATTATAGTAATGATATAATTGTAATTAAGTTTTAGCATTTTTTTCAATTACAATTTACATTCAATATTATTTTGTATTGGTTTCAGGTGTACAGCATAGTGGTTTGACAATCATATACTTTACAAAGTGGTCCTCTTGCTATTTCAGATACACATCTGGCACTGTACATAGTTATTACAATACTAGAGGCCCGGTGCATGAATTCATGCACCAGTGGGGTCCCTCTGTCTGGCCTGCGGGATTGGGCTGAAACCGGCTCTCCAACATCCCCCAAAGGGTCCCTGATTGCAAGAGGGTACAGGCCAGGCTGAGGGACCCCACCTGTGCCAGAGAGAGATGTGGGAGGTTGGTTAGCCAGGGAGGGACCACAGGAGGGCTCCAGGGCATGTCCGGCCCATCTTGCTCAGTCCCAATCAGCCGGACCCCAGCAGCAAGCTAACCTGAGGGCTCCAGGGCATGTCCGGCCCATCTTGCTCAGTCCCAATCAGCCGGACCCCAGCAGCAAGCTAACCTACTGGTTGGAGCGTCTTCCCCCTCGTGGTCAGTGCACTTCATAGTGACTGATCGACCGGTCGACTGTCTGCCCCCTGGTGGTCAGTGCACGTCATAGTGAGCAGTTGAGCAGCCTTAGCATATCATTAGCATATTACGCTTTGATTGGTTGAACGGCCGACTAGTCAACTGGACACTTATATAGGATTTTTATATTATATAGGCTTTTATTGTATAGGATTATTCATTATATTCCCTATGCTGTACTTTACATCCTCATGACTATTTTGTGACTACGAATTTGTACTTCTTAATTCCTTCACCTTATAAATTATATTTTAAATTATTATGAGCTAACACTGATTGTTGTTTACTGTGTACTAAACACTATGCTAACTGAATTATGTGCATTATCTCATTTAATTCTCACAAAAATATGGGAGAGTTTCTATCACCCTGTTTTGTAGACAATACATTTGAATTCCATAAAGATTGAATTGTATAGGTCAACAATTTTCAACCTTTTTAATCTCATGGCACACATAAACTAATTACTAAATTCTGTGGCATACCAAAAAAATAGGTATACTTTGATTGATTCACAAAAAATAATAATAGTAATTACTTTGGTTCATGGCATTTGATGGATTCCTTCTCTGTCTAGGCATCTGTGTACAAGTGTCATGTAGATTGATAAGTCTTTCTATTTTCCAGTCGGTGGTGCTAAATCCCAAGTGTTTTTTTTAGTTCTTTTGCACTTCTCTGGCTTTGCAGATCTCTGTGGGGTGGTGGGAAATAGCCTGTGCTCCATGGAAAGGTGGATGCCTTCTCTATGATTCTGTCACTCTGGTCTCAGGGGACCAACCCACAGGGGAATGCAGTGGGTGATGTAGTTCCGAATTCATGAAATCCCAGCACTGTTCTCTACAATCAGACACCACCCACAGTGTAGCCTTGATTGCAGGGGGTAGGGTGAGCTGAGGGATCCCAGTCATCGGTTATCTCTTTTGTTGCTTTTCCCTCCCAGCAATGGTGACTAGTTGACCTCGGTGGTGTTTTCCCCTGAGCCTTCACGGGAACAGATTAGCCTGTTGCTTAGGGGAAAAAGTGAATCTGTAGTACCAGTTCTAGGGCTTGCAGATAATATACTAGTACTCTGCAACCCGGCATATAGGATGAGTGTAGGTGAGCTCTAGGAGGTTAAGGTGTAGCCAGGCACTGTGGCTTTGTTTCTGTGTCTGGTTGCCAATTGCCAGACAACCTGCTGCACCTCTGTGCTTTGTCCCTGCCCAGGTCACTGGGCTCAGCTGGAGCTCATACTGCCCACTCCTGCAGGAATGTTCACTAATTCTCTTTGCTCCTTTTGGCTAAAGCAGTGGTTCTCAACCTGTGGGTCGTGACCCCTTTGGGGGTCGAACAACCCTTTCACAGGGGTCGCCTAAGACCATCGGAAAACATATATATAATTACATATTGTTTTTGTGATAAATCACTATGCTTGAATTATGTTCAATTTGTAGCAATGAAAACACATCCTGCATATCAGATATTTACATTACCATTTATAACAGTAGCAAAATTACAGTTATGAAGTAGCAACGAAAATAACATGAAGAACTGTATTAAAGGGTCGCGGTATTAGGAAGGTTGAGAACCACTGGGCCAAAGGGAGTGTCAGCTACACCTGATTCCTCCCTTCTCCAGGCTGATCCCCTCTGTGAACTCCCAGATCCAGGGCTGCATCTGTGGCTCATCTCAGCTTTTCTCCCATTTTGGTTTCCCAGCTTGCTCCCACTTGCCCACCTTCAGATGTTTCAATGCATGGATCTCTCAGACGTGTTTGTGCATTGAGCAGGGAATCTTTTGTTGAATTATAGTTGTTCAAGTTATTGAAACTTCAAGGGGAGAGGCCAAGGGGATGGCTCATGCCGCCATTCCTCTCCATGTAATGTTTTTCTAAATATTATCTTCCAAATATTATCAAAATACATTCTCTAATATAGAGATGAGTTTTTCAACCTGTTCCATTTTCTTAATAAATCCATCAAAAATCTCATAAAAACTTTTCTATTTTGAATCCATTTTCCATCACCTATCCATAAATGGACATATCAAGAAAAATTGATCTCTTTTACACATTTTAGAAATACTCCTCTTGGAAAATCTTTTATCTGTCTTTTGTCTACTCATTGGATAAATATTTGGTGTGTGCTTTTCATGTGTAGGGAGGTGTGCTAGTCAAAGGTGACACATCCTAGGCTTTGTCTTTGAGGAACTTCTCACCTGTGAAGAGGTTTGTCTTCTTCTCTTCCAGGGATTCTGACTTTCATTCTCCACTAATTTGTTAGTGTCCTTTATAGTGTAGGCTCTTGTTCACCTTACTCCTGCTCTCATTGAAACTTATCAGGATATTCATATTTTTCTTAAAATTAGAAGCTAGTACTAGGGCTTGGCATGTTTGGAGTTTTGCCTAATAACATAAATGAGACTAGAACTCAAGATTCCCAATTCTAATTTTCATAATTCCTGACCCCACTGTGTTTTCTACAAAAACTCACTACCTTGAATATACCCACAAATATGCCTTATATTCCTAAAGAGACTTTTAAAGGGAGGTAGTGAATTCAGGACCTACTGACCTGATCCTACCCACAGATATATTTTGCTTGGCCTGCACAGTGTCTTAAATTTTTGGAATTAGTTGTTTGGCCACAAATGGATGAATTGCTCTCTTGAAATGGAGTGTATGTTCTTCTTTTGTTCATAATTTCCACTATCACCAACCTACCTAGCTTGCTGACAGTGAGACTGATTCTGTTTTATTTTGCTAGCTTCACTTATTTGTGGAACCATCCTGGACTCTTATCAACTGCATTTGTGACTCCAGATATATAGAGTAACTCTGATGCAACTATTAGAAATTTGGCTTTTTAAATTAAAATACTTCCCCACTTAAAAATAATATATACTCTTTATCAGGGATAAGTGATAATGTAAAAACTAAAATAAAATAAAAAGAAAAATAGTTAAATAAAGTGAAAAATAAATATTACTTGTAAAGATATCACCTATTTTGGTAACCAAGACTCACATATATAATATAATCAGAGAAGATTTAAAAATAGTGTTTCTATCAGTTGGATCTTTTATATTGCAAGTTAAAGAAAACATAACTCAAACAATGAAGAAGATTTAATGGCTCATGTTTCCAAAAGTCTAGAGGTAAGACAAAAACTGTTTTCCTTATAAGGTATCATATGCATGTCCCATGAGGACCTGATGTTTTTGGGTGCCATTACTCAGTTCACCACAATAACTTACTCATTATTATGATATTAATGAATTAATACATGTGTTTAGGACATGCTATAAGGTACCGAGTTTCATTATTGTTGTTGTTATCATTCTTTTTGGGCCATGGAACCACTGCATATTTTACTATCCCTGGTATAGACAGATTCTTGCTCCCTTGGGTAACAAGACTCCCATTAGGCCCAGCTGCCATAGGTAAAACAGGAGTGAGCAAATATTTACCCTCTTTAGTAGTATGTATGTAAGTCTGTTGCCCTAGCATTCTCCTTAACTTATGGATGCTTATTCTTCATGGAGTTTGTCATCTCAGACTGTAGCTCAATATTTAAACATTTAACATTTATGAATACTGCTACTGACTTCATGTGGGAAGGCCTGATATTTACTTGTGCTTATATTTAAATCGATTTTATATTTATTCAATTGCTTTAAGTTGGATCTTTTGCTTTAAGGTATATATATATATATTTTATATATATATTTTATAATGCCATAGTATTTATCTATGTAGGTCCTAAACCCTAGTGGAATAAAATTTGTAACTATTTTCTACTAATTTGCAAAACATTTTGGCACTGAAGCTGTATTAATTGATTACATAGGATATATTATTTAATTATCTAGTTTTCAAGATTTATACATCATTTAGCCATGAATACAATAATTGAGTACTAGAATAATTTTGTGTTTATGATGCAATACTAAGTTTTCTCCACTTGGTGGCTTCAGTGATTAAAGTTCTGATCAATTTTATTTTGATAACTTCATTTATTTTAAATTAAAATTTAATTATCAGAACTGTGTTAAAATTCTTTATTATTTATGACTTAATATTTTTCTAAACATATCACTATTGGCATTAAATAGGTTATATTATATTCTTAGAACCACATTTTAGGGAACTTTTTGATATTGACTTTAAAATATTGAAACAGTTTCTTTACATGTAGCTTGACAGTTGAATTAAATTGCTGAAAGTAGATAATTTATAATTTTAGGTTTAAATATATGAATTTTCAAATTTAATTTTTAAAAATATATTTTTATTGATTTCAGAGAGGAAGGTAGAGGGAGAGAGAGAGATAGAAACATCAATGATGAGAGAGAATTATTGTTTGGCTGTTTCCTGCAGGCCCCATACTGGGGATGAAGCCCAAAACCCAGGCATGTGCCCTGACTGGGAATTGAACCATGACCCCTGGTTTATAGGTTGATGCTCAACCACTGAACCACGCTAGCCAGGCTCAAATTTAATTTTGTGAGTAAAAAAATATTCCACTTAATATTTTAACATTGTAAATGTATGAAAACATCAGTTGAGTGCTCTAGAACTTGTAATATTATTTCTTGTACTTGCTTCTTTCTGATAAGTGCATATTTACTTGAGAGCCAAAAATAATTTTATAGAATAAACTCTGAAGGAAAATCATGTCAATCTAATGTAAAGTGAATTCCTTTCTCAATTTAGCTCTAAAAAGGATATTAAACACTAAATCTTAAATCCTTCCCCATCTTTATCATTATGTATGCTGTTTTCAGTGACACATTTTTCTGCTCTCATGGCATGTATTTCTAGAGTTACATATTGCTCTAAGTTAATTTTTTTAAATTGCTCAGGTTAAATAGATTTCTTTTTCTGGGAATATATGTTGTGATTATTATAAAAGATACAGGATTTATTGTTCTCAATAACATTAATTTTATCTAAAATTTATATGTTAACCATAAAAACAATTAAAGCAAAGGCCATGCCTCTGTTAACTCAAAATAAGAGAGATAAACATATTTTTATGCAATTAAGATTTATTTTTAAAATATTAGCTGGAAATTTCATTGTCTTTACTCAATTTTCCCACCATTATTAATTTAATGATATAAAAAGTTTATAAGAATTTATTATTATTGGAAGATACACATTAAGATAGAAGTAGTAGCTACAATTTATAATTTCACTAATGATAAAATATGTAGAATTCATTTTTTTCTTGTATATTTCATAACAAAAATCTCATACTGTATCTCAAAGGGGAAACCACACATATACAGAAGTTTGAAAGTTTCATCTTACTGAATAGCATCCATTTATTGGATTGGGATATCTAGATTTAAAGTTTTTAAGAGAACTATTATATATACAATTTGAATGAACAATGCTAAAATGATTATTCTTATACATGTTTCCTTGTATCCTCTGTGGCAGCTTTCCTAGTTTCTGAACCTTGAATTAGAATTCATAGGTTGTGGTTAATGAGCATTTTTAACTTTACTAGGTAACCAAAATTTTTTCCAAAGCAGCATTTAAGAATTTACCCTTCTACCAAAAGACTGTGGAAGTTGCTGTTGCTTCATATCTTCAACAGCACTTGGTATTGAGAGAGATTTAGTTTTTTGTTGTTGCCAACTGCTTTGTTTCCTTTTGTATTATTCTAACTATTAGGGGATATGAACATTTTTTCTTTTGTTTATTGGACATTCATGTTGTTTCTTCTGAGAATTGCCTGTTTATATCATTTGCTCATTTTCCCATAGGATTGTTTATTATGTTGATTTGTGGGAATACTTTAAGTATCCTGTATGTTATTGACTTAAAGGTTGTGTGAATTTTAAATGGTTTCCTTCAACAGGTGTACTTGTGGGTAATTTTTTAAAACCATTTTATAATGTCTGTTGTTGTTCACAGTTTGTAATTTGAACAAAGCTAAAAGCATCAAGCACTTCCTTTTGTTGTCTGTGCTTATTTAATATCTTGTGTAAGAATTCCTTTCCTATACCAAGATCATAAAAATTTGACTCTTACAGGTTCTTTCCCCCCCATATAGTAAATCTGTTTCACCCAGATCCATTTATTGGATAGTGAATCATTCTGCCATTTATTTTTATATAACCTCAGTCATATATTAAGTATGCATGAAAATCTCTCTGGGCTTTCTATTCTACTACATTGGTTTTTTTTTCTTTTTTCCTGTCCTGGACCAATGCAACACTTTATATCTTTGTGACTATAAAATTTTGATATGTGAAGGCTGGACCTCCCCTCTTGTTCTTTTTAAAAAAATATGTGTTATTGATTTTTAGGGAGAGAGGAAGGGAGAGGGAGAGATAGAAACATCCATGAGAAACATGTCAGCTGCCTCCTGCACTCCCCTTGCTGGGGACTGAGCTGCAACCTGGGCATGTGCCCTGACTCAAATCCAACCAGTGACCTCTTGGTACATGTGTAGATGCACAATCACTGAGTCACACCTGCCAGGTCCCTCTTGTACTTAAAATATAGTTTTGTTTATTCTTGGCCATTTCAGATCTTCCACATAAATTTAAAATCTTCTCCCCCCAAATAATTATTGTATTTTGAATGAAATTGCATTTAATTTATATATTATGTTATATGACATTTATTTACTTGTTTATTTTTTGTTGTTGCCATTACTACAGGTATCCCCATTCCCCCTCCCCTATACTTTGCCAACCTCCACCCAGCTCCCACCACCTCTTCCCTCTATCCATCACCGCTCTATTATCTGTGTCTATGGATTATGCAACAGAGAAATTTACAACTTTATTATACAGTTTCAATCCATGAACATGGGGTATTTCCCCATATATTTACATGTTATATTTTTAATTAATGTTTCATAATTTTTCCCATAGAGTTTTCACAATTTTTTTTGTTTGGTCTATAGCTAGATAACTCATTGCTTTTATTGCTATAGTGAATTAGATCTTTTCTTTTTTCTATTACTACCATTATTTCTATTTTTTCAAGTACAATGTAAGGTCAAGAAGCAGTGCTATATCCTAGTACCCAGAATAGAATATGATACATAGTATGCTCTTAAAATGTGTTGAATAAACTAATACATCACTCTTTATTATTTCTGCTTTAAAATAGTGTAAATGATTTTTGTACTAATTTGGATGAACTCACTTATAGTTATAACACTTTATCCATTGATTCTCTTGGATTTTATATGGAGAAATTAAAACGTATGGAGCAGGCTTATTTTGTCATTTATAAATT